GAGGAATCCCAAGAGCTGTTGACTATTGTGACTCATAAAGGGCTTTATCGTTACTGTCGCTTACCCTTCGGAATAACTTCTGCCCCAGCCTTGTTCCAGAGAGCTATGGACCAGATCTTGTGTGACTTGTCAGGAGTTCAGTGCTATCTTGACAACATCCTGGTCACGGGTGGGAATGAGGAGGATCACCTTAAGAACTTAGGGTATGTCTACACTACAAAGTTAATTCGAACGAATGGACGTTAGTTCGAATGAACTTTGATAGGCGCTACACTAGCACTCCGCTAGTTTGAACTTAATTCGAACTAGCGGAGCGCTTAGTTCGAACTTAATTCGAACTAGCGGAGCGCTTAGTTCGAACTAGGTAAACCTCATTGTACGAGGGCTAAGCCTAGTTCGAACTTACTAGTTAGAATTAAGGGGTGTGTAGCCCCTTAATTTGAACTAGTGGGAGGCTAGCCCTTCCCAGGTTGTAGATATAGATCTTGTTGTTATGGTAACTGAGTAGGTCACTGGGGTCAGCCCAGCTAGTCTGGGCTTGTTCTAGTGAGTTCTGTGCTATGCAATAAAATGGACACTTGCACCTACTCCAGCTCTCTGCCTTTGCACTGATTCTTCCTATTCTGTGAAGCTCCCCATGACATAACAGCAACCAAAGTGCTCGGGAAGCAGCTCTCTGCTGCCACCCTTGGGAAGGGGCTTTGGCCACTTCAGATCCTGCTGTTTTATGTAAATGGCTGTAGAATCCTGATTTCCCTGCTGGGAATAGTCCTGGAGTAAAGGAGATTGCAGGGCTAGCAGAATTGCCCTCCACGGGCCCCGTTCAGGGGTAGACCCAGAGCAAGGAGAAGGTGTGCTGAGGAAAAATAGGATGTAGCTGCTCTTAGCTGGTGGAGAGTTCTTTGGGGGCTGTTGCAGGCTGTGTGTGGTGGACAGGGATGTAAAACCCTGTTTAACTGGCTAAGTGGTTAAAGGCAATGTTTAACCGGTTAGCTGATTAAAGGGGAGATTGGACAGGGGGTGGGGGTACTCCAGCCTGGCTAGGTTGGAGCTGCTCTTCCACCTGTTGCAGTCAGGCTGGCACAGCCTTGCCTACAGCACACCCAGGCCTGGCCTGCTGCAGACGGGGCTGGAGTAGGGTGACGCTAACTGGTTAACTATTCTCATCCCGCTGGTGAAGCTAACAGCAGAGGCAGATACAGGAGCTGTGAAGGGGGTGTACAGCCACCTTTGGCCATCCTATATTGTGGACTACAGCAGCTACAACTGAGATTCTGGGCCTCAGTCCCCAGCTTCCTTCACTCCAGGTTTTCCAAGGTCCTCTAACACAGGATTCCCACCCTGCCCTCTTTGTGCCCCCCAAGCCTGCCCTGAGGGGGGCCAAAATATTCACACACATTACTCATTCAGCCCTAAGTACCTCTGTCTTGCTCCCTACAGAAGACTGAGCAGACGAGTGCTGTCAAAGCCATAGTCCCTGTGGTTCCTGGAGTCCCAGTAAAACAAAGTGCAGGGGGTACAATCACCCTGTGTTGAAGGCTTGTGGCAGGTCTGCAGGGAAAAGGTTGACGTAAGGGCTCTGAAGAGGCTGAGAGACAGAGCTGGTCTTATGATTTTCTGGGCCCCCTGTTGCTGGGGGGGCATAGGCCTGGCTGGGTTCTAAGGCAGAGGGCACTTTCTCTGGTCTGAGACTTGGCTATCACCCATCGCTCTTTCTCTTTGCCCTTCTGATCTCACCCTCCCACTGCCCTCCCAGTGACAGATGGTGGCTGTTGCTCATCTGTAATTAATTGAACGCTGTGCTAATAATCATCCTAACAGAGCCCTATACCAGCCTATTTATAGCCACACTGAGTGGCGCGCTGGGATTTCTGGTTGTGAAGAGCCTATGAAACTCTGGTGGCATTTGTTGCTCTGCCATGCCCTATCTATTCCCATAAGCCCCTTTCCCACTCACATTCCAGGAGGACGCCAAAGTCCTTCATTCACATCTCCCCTGCTCGCTCTCAGAGGATGGGTATGGTACCCACGTAAGTGTGTGTACAGCTGATGCCCAGGAGCCAGGAGCACTGATGGTTTCTCTTCCCACATGGATGGCCTCCCTTGGCACACATCCCAAGGGCAGAGTCACAGAGACACAGAGCTGTGGGAAACTTGGCCCGCTGACCAGGCCCTGCTCCATGGGGCCCTTTGGCAGAGCCTATCTCTGCCCTCTGGTTTGTTTCTGCTGTCTGCTCCAGGCAGAGCTTGCTGGGTTCGCTGTTCCTTTCAGCGAGCTCCGTTTGCAGGAGAAGAGGCCATTCTCTATCTTCTTTATTTTCCCATCTCCTTTGAAAGTCCCATGCTGGGCAGATCCACACCTGTGGCTGGGAGGTGATCCCCTCGGGAACCCATTTTTAATCCTGCAGTGGCTGAACCAGGCTCCTCTTATGCCAGGAGCTGAGCATAGAGCAGGTTTTAACCATGGTTTTGTTCTGGTCTATATTTGCAGGTAAGCCATGCTAGCACCTATTCAGCTGAACGTTTTGCTGACACCTGGCAAGAGCAACAGGTAATTTTCCTAGTGTGAACAAGAGGGAGTGACGTGGAATGCTCCAAAATGTGTGCTTGGGAATATGTGCTTGAATTTTTCTCTGACTAAGGCTAAACTCATGCCCACAGTGTTTAATCTGTGCCAGCGCTGAGTCCCGGTACCTCTAGGCTTGGCAGTTCATAGCCCCAGCACCTTTGAGGCTATGTCTACACTATAGGGCTTTATCGGAAAAAGGTATGCAAATTGCACTCCGCAATGTGCGTACCTTTTTCCAATAGTTTTTTCAGAAGGGGCTTTTCTGAAATTTGGCCTGTCTACACTGGGTCAAATTTCAGAAAAAAACCCTCTTTTGGAAGAGCCCTTCTTCCTCGTGGGAGGAGGAATACAGGGCTTCTGAAAGAGCACATCTGCTTTTCTGCAAAAGAAAGCTGAAGAGCAGACACGTTTCCTGGATGTGACCGAGTTTTTCTGAGATACTGCGTAGTCGAGACATAGCTTCTGTTATGAATGTAAAAAAATTAATTGAACCCCAGCACCTCTTTCATTACAAATGAAGCACTGCATTGCCCAGCCCCCATCTGCTTTCTGAAAACATCTGAGCAAGTAAGTTTTACTTGCCTGGATGTTCACAGTAAGCAACTGGCCAAGTCACAGATGTGAGTATTCAGATCAGAAGTTCTCTTACGTTTATCTACTCAGGGATCTGCAATAATACCACATGAATGCTCTAGCAATCACAGTTAACCAAGACACTGGAATATCTCAATATTGCATGCTGCAGTCACTCCAAGTATTCGCCAAGTAAATGTGAATAATGAATCCATCGGAGGGAGGTGCGCCCTGCTCCCAGAGAGCCTGCTGTTCCACTAGCGGAGAAGGAGGCTCCAGTCATTGGCTCCCATAGTAGCTGAAATCAGATGCTCTCAATCTGCAAGTACATGAAGAGCACCCACACCAAGGAAGGAATTATTTTGGGTGGCACCAGGGGGTAAAACAAGGAAAAATGGGATGAAACAAAAGCCTGGCTACAACTTAAAGTGCAGGCCAACATAGCTACAGCATTCAGGGTTGTGACAAATCCATACTGGTGAGCAGGGCGGAGATGCTGGGAGCACTGTAGCTATGCTGATCTAACACGCAGCACAAACATGGCAAGACTGATGGAAAAATGCTTCTGTGGACCTAGCTACTGCTGCTCAGGGACATGGTGTCCCTATGGTGCTATAAAGCCCTCTTCTACTGCTGTAGGCTGAGTCTGTGCTATGGATTATGCTACTTAGCCACAGTGATTGCTGCTGTTGTTCCCGCAGTGTAGACATGGCCAATACAAAGAAAAGCATAGACTAGTTGTGGGGAAGCATTTCAAGCCAGCAAGCTGTGTCAGATCTCCCCAGGGCATAGGATGGATGCCTCAGTGCCTGAGACCTTTTGAACTCTACTGAAGAAAGCATTCAACACTGTCCAATAGGAGACCATCCTGTCACGGCTCCGGGGAGAGGGGCAGGCCTGGGCAATGGGCTGTTTCCACTGCTGACCCCGAGGATTCAGCGAAGCAGAGGCTCAGACACTGCCAGGACTCGGCAGCTGGCCCCACAAGGGGAGCTCTGGCTGCCTCTCCCCCCCAGGCTGAGGGTGCATTGCAAGCAGGGCAGCCTCCTGAACCGCGGGAGCTGTGAGAGGGGAGGCAGCATGTGAGCGCTGCACCCACATGACTAATATTGGCTTCCTCTCGCAGAGCGGCTGCCTGCCGCTGTGCCTGCTGCAGAGTGACTGAACCTGGGGGAGGGGGAGGGAGGAGGCTGGTCCTGACAGCCACGGAGGAAAGTGGTGAGAAGAAGGAAGAGGAGTGCGAGTGAGAGAGCCAGACTGTGCGGAGAGCAGCCTGGCCCAGCTGTAGCCAGGTGAAGGGCAGAAGAACCGTCGGGGCGGCTTCCCTTCCTCATGCCCTACCCATGCAGCCAGGCAGCGTGATGCTGCTTTTCCTGCTCCGCAAGATATTGGTAAAGAGCTGCTGAAGAAAGTTTTTCTGGGCCTGGGTGTTCCTGAGGGGAGGAGCGGGGGGCGTGGGCTTAATTGTCCAAGCTGCATCTGGGATGTGTCTGGCTTTGACGCAGCAGCTCGGAGTCTGCGGGAAGCTGCAGCAGGCTGGGGTGATTGCCTGGTGCAGTCGTAGGCAGGGGTTGTGTTAAAGAGAGATTGCTTTTATTGGACTCCTGTACAGAAAGGGTCCCTTTGTCATCCTGCCACAGGGTCACATTCAGGCTCTCACAGGCACCATCGGCTCCTAACTGCAGGCCTCTGCTTGGGGTAGAGAGTTACTGGAAGTCGTTGCAGGAGAAGTGTGGTTGCTGACTGACCTTTGTCTTTACTTTCCCCAGCTCGTCCCCTGTCCTGTCCAGCAAGCCCCTGGGAATGATCTGAGATGAAGAGAGTGCTGGTGTTCTGGAGAACCAACCTTCCTCTGCAAACTTCAGCCCCACTTAGCTCTGCTTGGACCACGTTAAATGTTTGTGGAGTTCCTGCCTGGCTCGGTTCATGTGGTCGTGCAGATCCAAGGCAGCATCCCCTAATGAGTGGAACCGATGAATCAGAGACCACGTGCAGGACAGACAGATTTGAAACTGGCACTGTTCTGATCGGCAGCCCCATATTTCTCCTAGGGCTGGGAGCCCTTCTTGTCTCAACAGCTCCCCCTGCCTCTGTATTGAACCTTGTGGCCTGGATCCCATTAATCTGGCCTGATCACTGACAGCAGCTGCTGATCCCAGAGCTTCTGGGGCAGGAGAGCCCTTAGGGTACACTTGCCTTTGGGGACAGCTTTCGCTCCATGCCTGACTGACTCAGAGAATGACAGCAGCAAGTTGGTATCACTGGGACATCAGTCGTGTTGTGGCTGAGGATTTGTTGGCCAAAGCTGGGAAGGATGGGTGCTTCCTGGTGCGAGACAGCGAGTCCGTGTCAGGAGCATATGCCCTTTGCCTGCTGTAAGTTGCCCGTCTCATGTCTCATCTTTGTCTCTCTCTGTCCCTTTTTCCTTTTCAGCTTCTCACTCTTGTCACTTACAAACCTGCTTGTTCTGCTCAAAGGCTCTGACCCTGGGGCCAAGTGCCAGCACCAGTACCCAGAGAGCCAGGGCAAGAAGCAGGCTGAAGCTGGGTGGATGGTTCCTGGAGATTTCTCCCTGCCCCTCTGGTGCTGCCAGCCTTTTTAATCCCTGCTGTCTCTGACAGAGCACTAAGACTCCTTGCTTCATTCCGGGAGCAGTCAACAGAGAATAATGACCAAGAGGTGCCCTTTTCTAACTACAGGCCACCTGATCACAGAGTTGGTCTTAGGGGCGGGCGAGCCGGGCGGTTGCCTGGGGCCGCCATTTTCAAGGGGCCACCAACAGAGCCGGTCTTAGGGGTGGGCCGCGACCACATTTCGCCCCACCTCCCGAGTCCTTCCCCCAAGTTTCCCTGGTTACTTCATGACCATCACCCCCCTTTTTTGTTTTTGCTTGACAAATTTTTGTCTGGGGCCACCAGTTGGTTAGGACTGGCCCTGACTGGTCCTATGGCATCAGCCAGGCATGCACACAAGCACACACATTGGTGTGAGAGCCTGGCTGTGTGTCTCCCGGCTACCCATCATGGGAGCGACTCATAATATTGCTGAGCACTTATCGCCTTCAAAGCCCTGCACAGACACTAACCAAGTGGGTAATTATTGTATCCTCAGATGCGGAACTGGGCACAGAGAGGTGAAGTGACTTGGTCAAGGGCACAAATTGAGACAGTGGCTGAGTTAGGTTTGAACCCCTGGAGTCCCTGATTCTTAACTCATGCTCCCATCCCTAGATCATAGTGCAGGCATATCAATGGAATGAGCAGGAGTCTTCCTAGTGGAGTAACTGCACAGCCTGACTGTAAGACAGTCCTGGCTACGCCAGGAGCTATGTGGCTGGGAATTCCCTTTTATGAGATACACCCATCACCATCAACCCTTCCGCAGGCAGAAGAAAATCCTGTTTTTAAGGGGGCCTGGAGTGCAAATAGCCGTGCCTGGCTTGTAAGCCAGCCACACTGCTCTGGGACCAGGATCTGTGAAGTTTGGCCACGGAGGCAGTGACTCTTGGTCTGATTCTCCATTCACAGCATGTTCACTGCATCAGTGTAAGGGGGAGCAGAATCAGATCCATAGACTCCAGCGAGCCTGCCCCGACTATGTCCCCATCCATCCTAGCGGTGTCCACTTCTGATGTGGGTGTCCCGTGGAATCCCTATGTGCTGTGTGAGACTGCAGGACCCTGCTAGTGCTGTGAGGGAATGAATCACCCAGGTGGGTGCAATCCACCATCTGTAAAAACAAAGTCACCCCCAAACTCAGCAGCAGGCAGGCCACAAAGCACACAGATGTGCTATGCGTCTCCAGGCTGCCCATCATGAGAGCCACTAAATATATTGCTGAGCACTTATCACCTTCAAAGCCCCACACAGACACTAATGAGGTAGATAAGGATTGTATCCTCAGATGCGGAACACATCTCTGCATACTAGTACTCCCTCTAATCATTCGCTCTGAGCTTGGTGGGCCCTGGGACCCAGACCCTACTGGTGCCCTGAAGTCTAAAGTGGCATTTTGCTCTAACAATGTCTGTATACAAATGGCAAATGTGGAGTGCTGTATTCATTGTGATCAGATCAGACTGGCTGAGTTTGGATGTGAAAAGCTTTTGGGTTTTTTCTTTCTAGCAGCTAGCACTGTAAACTCCAATGGGGTCAGAGAATGGTGCTGGGCCCTTTCTGGCTTATCAGTACTAAGGGTCTGCAACTGGCAGTTAGTTAAGAATTATGTGGGTGAGCAGGAGCTATCATTGAGCCAGCTGCATCTCATCTAGCTGCATTGGCTCCTCTAGGCTTTACAGGAGTAAAAAACTGAAAACCTATTTGTCACTGAAGTCAGCAGAGCTGGCTCTGGTGCTCATGGGGCTCAGACCTGCTGAGTAAGGAGGAGCCATTTTTGTACAGTCACATTTCGGAGTGTAACCGCAATTTAAAAATTTGCATTAGCAGGGAGAGCAAGCTGTGCATGGGTGCACGGATGGCCTGGCAGAGACTTTGTAACTCAGGGCTGAGTGCATGGGCAGAGTTGTGCCAAGGGTGGGTGCTCAGGGCTGGACTAGTCACGAGTGCAGCAGCTCTGGATTGGGATGTAGCAGCCTCACTGCATTTGGCTAAAATTAGTGCTATCCAATTGCTCGTGGTCATGAGGACTACACTGTATCAGATTTACTTAGCTTGACTTCTGAGTGTGATCTGAGTGAGAGGTGTCCCTTTGTACTGCCAGCGATGGAGCGACTCCCAGCCCAGTGACACATCTGCATAACTCCCGGAAAGCTCAGCGAGTAAGAAGTCAGGGTACTGTGGGAAGAAGATGCTGTTCCTTTAAGAGTCTTGGATGGATGCCGTCCCATTTCCGATGATTTTCCTGGCCTAGAGCATGGTACAAATTACAAACACATGGTCCCGAGGAGTGTAGGAGGCACAGTGCATGCTGGGGATTTAACCAATGAGGTGCCCAGATCCCTGGAACTTGTAGGGGCTTAGCTTTTGCTAAGCACTTTTTCTCTCCAAAACCCTTGCCCTGGCTCTGAGTAGCTGTGGGGTGGGTGGGGCTCCCAGAGATGGATGCCCTCTAGCTAGCCCAGGTCTAGGCTGTGCTTTTGTGGGCAGTTTAATTCACATTTGAGCAGGGATGGCCACATGGGCTATCTCTGCCCTGGCTGTCATAGGGTGCTTAGCCTTGCCCCCAACATGTCCAGAGCCACATTTTCAACAACAGCTAATTTTAGTTGGCTCAGATTTTGGATACACAAATTGAGACCTTGGGCATGAGCATTTATAGTCCAGCTTCTACCAATGCCAAATGGAGCTGCAGGGACTCAGCACCTCTGAAAAAGCAGGCCCACCGTACTTCTGCTGAGACCCACAATTGGAAGCATCCATAATCAATAGCCTTTCCTGAAAACATATACTTGGCCTGTCACTTGAGACGGAAGGAGGGAAATGTGCCACTCACGCTTTCCCCCACCCCTCAGTCTCCCTGCCAGGAATGCAGGGCTCCATGCAGAGCCAGTATCCAGCTGCAGTGGCTTTGTGTGGGGTTCTTTGGCCAAACAAGGATGAGTAGCCATGTGACGAGCCATTTAGAGTCAGGGTTCAATGGGGGCAGGATGTATGTCCATCAGCGAGGCTCCTTGATGTGTGGCCTGGGTTGGGGAGCAGCTACTACATCTTAGAGCACACATTGATCATTTGTGTCTCCAGGGTTAGAGAAGCTTCATTTCTCTGCCTCCTTTGCCTCAGCTACTACTTATGGGTAATGCGCAGAGAGCCAACTGGCTTTTATCACCGTAATGGGGATCATTGGCTGCTGTTTCCAAAAGGGACATGTTGTATTGGTGTAGTGGCAACACCAAGAAGACCTATTGGGGCAGGAGCTGCACATACACTTAGGGTATGTCTACACTACATACCCTCCGTTGACGGAGCCATGTAGATGAGCTTTGTAGACATAGGAAAATGAAGTGACGATTTAAATAATTGCCGCTTCATTTACATCAAAATGGCTGCCGCTCTGTGCCGATCAACTGTTTGTCGGCACAGCACAGTAGTCTGGACGCTCCACGGTCGACATCAAAAGCCTTTGTTGACTGCCCTGTTATGCCTCGTGAGATGAGGTTTACCAGGGCAGTCAACAAAGGCTTTTGATGTCGACTGCGGAGCGTCCGGACTACCGCACTGTGCCAACAAACAGTTGATCGGCACAGCACGGCAGCCATTTTGATGTAAATGAAGCAGCGATTATTTAAATCGCTGCTTCATTTTCCTATGTCTACAAAGCTCATCTACATGGCTTCGTCAACAGAGCCATGTAATGTAGACATACCCATGGTGAGAGATAGTCCCTGTCTCACAGGGATCACAAGCTGCCCAGAGAAGACAGAAGATGGGAAGACAGGAGTATGATTGTCCCTCGTTTTTTCCTTGAGAACAACTGGTTTCCAGATTAATCCAGATATAGCAGAACTCCTGGGTGCAGCCACGGTCCCTCCCTGCCTTCCTAATTGGCTAACGTCTCTTCCCACCAGCACTGGCCCCACCTGATTGTGAGACTTCCAGTGGTGGAACTGTGATGTTGATACCTTGTTTGGTTTCGTCCTAGGTTCCAGAGACACGTGCACACCTATAGGATCCTGCCCGATGAAGAGGGGCTGCTATCTGTGCAGGTGGGTGGAGTGGGAACCACTGGTTGCAAGTGGGAAGGAGGCAGCCATAGCAGAGATGCCCCAATCACTAGCATTCCTGTCCCTTGACTCTCTCCCCTCCAGGTGTGTCTAAGGCACCTTTCTTCAGGACCTCTCAGTGTGGAGATCCCCGGATTGTTCATTCTCTTGGCTGTGTGATTTGGGGTTTTCACAGGAAGCAGCTGTGGAAGGGTCTTGCCTCCACCCTTTGTGCTGCAGGTGCAAATGGAAGGGACATAGCACCAGCAGCATCTAGAAATGGGGTTAGGTGGCGTCTGTTCCTCCCTCACTGCCGGGAGCCGCAACCTAGCACTGTGGTTTCCTTTCTGCATAAGGCACCTGCGATGTTCAGAGCCCACAGGATGTGTTTCCTTTGCACAGAGGCAATGCTTCACAGCCTCAGAGTGATCTCTGGTACTGTCCTGCACTCAGCAACAGCCTGGGAACACAGCTTAGGGGCTGCTCCATGCAGATATTGCATAACTGGGGTGGCTCTAGAGAAACCTCGACTCCTCCCCTTTTCCTTTGTGAACCACCTGCAATTTCAGCTGGATTCAGGATTCTTCACTTCCTGTCTGAAACTGCTGTGTGTGATTGCGTAACAGCTCTCAAAAGAGTGTCCACATTCTGTCCCAGAGATGATTCCTTTTACAGCCCTGTGCGGCCCTAGCCTCACCCTAGGTCAGACCTTGGTCAGCCAGTGGTAACCAGCCTCCGTACCCTTTGGGTCTTTCTCCATTTCCACTTTTCCGGTGGCTGCCAGGTTACTCCCTTGTGCATGGAACAACATCCTTATCCCAGGATCCCTGTTCATAGAATCATAGAACCATAGAGCTGGAAGAGACCTCAGAAGGTCATCAAGTCCAGCCCCCTGCCCTAGGCAGGACCAATCCCAACTAAATCAACACAGCCAGGGCTTTGTCAAGCTGAGACTTAAAAATCTCTAGGGATGGAGACTCTACCACCTCCCTAGGTAACCCATTCCAGTGCTTCACCACCCTCCTAGTGAAATGGCTTTTCCTAATATCCAACCTGGACCTCTCCCACCGCAACTTGAGACCATTGCTCCTTGTTCTGCCATCCGTCACTGCTGTGAACAGCCTTTCTCCATCCTCTATGGAACCTCCCTTCAGGAAGTTGAAAGCTGCTATCAAATTCCTCCTCACTCTTCGCTTCTGCAGACTTCACAGACCCAACTCCCTCAGTCTCTCCTTGTAGGTCATATGCTCCAGCCCCCTGATAATTTGATTGCCCTCCGCTGGACACTTTCCAGTGTGTCCATATCCTTTTTGTAGTGGGGGGCCCAGAACTGGACACAATACTCCAGATGTGGCCTCACAAGAGCCGAATAAAGGGGAATTATCACATCTCTGGATCTGCTGGCAATGCTCCTCTTAATGCACCCTAATATGCCATTAGCCTTCTTGGCTAAAAGGGCACACTGTTGACTCATATCCAGCTTCTCATCCACTGTAATCCCCAGGTCCTTTTCTGCAGAACTACTACTTAGCTGGTTGGTCCCCAGCCTGTAACAATGCTTGGGATTCTTCCGTTCCAAGTACAGGACTCTGCTCTTGTCCTTGTTGAACCTCATCAGATTTCTTGTGGCCCAATCCTCCAATTTGTCTAAGTCACTCTGGACCCTATCCCTGCCCTTGAATGTATCTACCTCTCCCCCTAGCTTAGTGTCATCTGCAAACTTGCTGAGGGTGCAATCCATCCCCTCATCCAGGTCATTAATAAAGATATTGAACAAAACCGGCCCTAGAACCGAACCTTGGGGCACTCCGCTAGAAACCGACCGCCATCCTGACATTGAGCCATTGATCACTACCTGCTGGGCCTGGCCTTCTAGCCAGCTTTCTATCCATCTTACCATCCATTTATCCAATCCACAGTTCCTTAACTTACTGGCAAGAATACTGTGGGAGACAGACTGTTCTCCTTACTCAAATCTTGCTCAAAGATAGATGCCCATGAACAGTGACCCACATTAGGCAAACTCTCTTCCTCCCTAGCACAATGTCAGGGCAGAGGAGAGAACTCTTAGGCTGTTTAATGCTTAGGTGAGCACCTCCCCTGGCTCCCTGGGTCTTGCAAAGCATAAGCTTCTTGGGATGGGAACCGTCTTCGATTGCACCCTGAGCAGAGTCAGGCTCATCATTAGAACCTCACAAACATAGTGAACATTCGTAATCCTTCCTGGGCTGGGTGCATGTCCATGGCTATCCAGAGTCTGGGTGGGATATACGAGAGCAACAGGCATTCTTCTTCTCCCCTTAGACCATCCAGGGCCTCCAGGCTAAATGTTTCCGCACCCTGACTGATTTAATAGGGGCCTACCAACAGCCTAACAATGGCCTGGTGATCCCACTGCTCTACCCCGTGAACAGAGCAAGAGAGCCCGTAGATGAGGACTCTGGTGAGTAGGGAAGGGTGGGGGGGGGTGATGGTGGGGGGAGGCTTGGGGGGCTGGATGAAGCCACAGGGGATGAAATGGGGGGATGTGGAGGGTGCAGATCAGCCATTCAGCTCCCCAAGAGAGTGAATTTTTGTTTCACCCAGCACCTAATTATGCCTGGGGGGACGTCATGGCTTAAATGGGATATAGCATTGCACTCACCCCAGCAAAGATGCTGGACACAATGGTTAGATCAGGATGTGCTTGAAGTTTGGGGGAGCAGAAACTATTTCCATGCCTCTCTAAAATGCTGTGCCCTTTGTGTCTGCAGATGGTGAGGACAGCAGAGCTAGCCACACTCCAAGCCTGGTGCCTCACAGCGGGATCAGTGTGGGCAGTGCCAGTGGGTGGGTTACCACTCAGTCAGACAAGGCGCAGATATCTCAGCAGTTGCAGCTGAAGCTGCAGGAACAAGTTGACAGCAGGTATGACCTGGCACTGCCACACCAAGCACAGAGCAAGCAGCAAGCATTGTATCTTCGGATGGTCCAGAGGCTGCTGGAGCAAGTTGAGCATGTGTGAGGAGAGCGAGGGTGTCCCTTCCCTTCCTGCTGTGGAGAGTAGAAACTGCAGCGGTGGGGTGGGGTGGGGTCGGGTGGGGTGGGGGGAATTGGACATCTTGATTAACAGGCACAGTGGCAGCTATACCTCTAGCACCTGCCTTTGCACACCTATGGCACTAGACCATGCCTTCTTGCCAAACCTATATGGTGAGAATGAAGGTGCAAAGCTCAGGGTGGCTGGCAACCAGACCTACCTTTTCCTTGAGGTGTCTGCACTATTGCCATGCCAGGCGCAATACCCGCAGCAGCACAGTGAGGGAGCTGGCAGCCAGGGCTGTCAATCAGAAACGCACTCGCATGCTCACACAGCCCCACCTCTTGCAGCCCGGACAGCGAATTCAAGAGATCGATGGCCGAGTACCTCAGCCACCACTTACATCTTGACCTAGAGGCCCTGAGGAATGGGAACCTGCACCTGCGATACCTGAGCACAGCCCTAGTGACTGCCTGCCGTGGGCTGCACAGGTGAGCAATGGAGGGAAAGGGAAAGGAAAAGGGACTGGGACTGGAGACAGACTGATCTTAGTCAGAGGCAGAAAAACCTATGGGACTCTAGGACTGCATTGTTCTTTCCTGTCTGCTCTCGAGGGACAGGGGATCTAGTTTAAATATCCTTGACCTGGCCCTCCATGTGCTTTCTCTGGGCATCTCATCTGTGCTTGGTGCTGACACTATCTGCTATTCTAACACTGTCCCTGGGAGGCTGGCCTCTGCTGGGGCCTTCTCCTGGGGGTCTTGTGTGTGCGGGGTACAGACAAGCACCTGCTAGTCAACAAAGCAGAAGAAAGTCACACTGTGAGGAGGGAGCTTGTATAACCACGACCAGGCGGATTTGAACCTGGGACCACTGGAGCTTAGTATAAGAGCCTCTATCCTTTGATTTAAAAGCCAGCTGGCTTTCAGCCTCTGCTCTGGAGGGCTCGTGGTCGTACTGTTGCTGTGGTCTAGGTGCCACTGCATGGGACAGTGAACCACAGTACGTGTGTGGGTTATACTTGCACAAGGCCTTTACTAGGAAGCCAGTCCAATTCCTGCCTCCAGAGCATCTGAAAGCTAGTGGCCTCCACAAAACTCCTATGTGATTTTTTTTCCTCTCGTGTGGATGCTGGAGGTGTGGGGTTCCTAAAGCTCATCCACAGATGGAAAAGCTCATGCTGTTTCCTTTGCTTGGCCTCAGCCCTAATGACATCCCTTTCTCCCCCTTCCTTGCCAATTATCCTTCTCCCGTGGTGGCTGTATCCAGATTCAAGTGCCTAAGCAGCTAATCACCGCGAATCCCAGCCACATCACAGTGTAGGATCCTCCTGCAATGAAAGCCTTTAAATCCAGAGGCCCTGGAGAGATGCTGCAGGCAGACTTTGTCCATCTCTGGAGATTGGAGACTTGGGGCAGCTGAGCCCCAAGATTGGAGACTTGGTATCAGCCTGAACTAGCCTCCCATGCTGCTTCCCAGAGTCCTGCAAACCAGGAAAGGGGCAAGGGCATGTTTGATCCAGCCCTCCGCAGCCACTCATTTTGAGTGCAGTTGCAGTGCATGGTGATGAGGCCTCTTGAGCAGTTATTGTACCTGCCTGATGCTAACCCCCTGAGCTTTGTGAAGTCCCAGGCCCCATCCTGCTTAGGCTCCACTGGCATTGAAAGTGTTTCTGGTTTGCTGCACTCGCTGATGGGAAGGTCCTGTTCCGAGCACTGTGGCAGTCCCCAGGGCTAAGACAGAGGGGTCTAGTATGGGATTGCTGCTCCCCAACCCAGCTTCTCTGAACAGGTGCACCCAGTGGCTTGTCAGGAACTGGCATGGGGCCAGCAGATGTGTCCTAGCAACTGGTTCCTTGGACCACACATCTTCCCTACTCGGTACTCTTCTCTCTGCAGTGAGATTGACTTCACGCTGGCTGGTTTGGAGACTCTGGCCAAAGTGTTTGACCCTCCGGCTTCCCCTCAGAGCCCCGTAAGAGAGCAGGTGAGTCCTCCATTCCCAAGTGTTGGCCTAGGGAAGGAAGCCTCATGGTAGGTGTCAACACGTCTCTGTCTCCCAGGCTGGAGGGGGGAGTTGATCCGGGGGAGATTTCATTGTCCGGGCTTGATTTTCATGCATATCAGCACCCAAAAGGGCATGAGGCTCCCTTCTTCAAGTGAGGCTCAGACAGCTGCCTATATTCATTAAAAGGGTTGCCAGTTTTGGTTGGACATATTCTGGGAGGTTTCATGACGGGACATAATATTTAATTAAAGATTATTCTTTCATTCCTGGAGACTCCATGCCAATCCTGGAGGGCTGACAACCCTATTCATGAACCTAGTGCTAGAGCTCCAACCCAGGGGGAGTTCAGATGCAGCAGGCTAGCTGCTACAGTGAAGGCTGAAAATTGCAATGTGGAGACCTGAGGGAGGAAAAATACTTTGGTGGTGGGGTAGGTTAGGGATCTGATCTGGAACATCTCAGATGGACTGACCTGAAGCATCTGCATGGCAGCAGGGACCTGTGTCCTGAGCCAAAAACCTCCATGAAGTTTCAGCCCAGACCTGCTCTGCTTGTGCCCCTCAGTCCTACACAGAGGTACTAATTGTGCTAAACTCTCTTCTGGTATGTCTACACTAGCTCCCTAGATCGATGTGGGGAGGCTTATGAGGGCGACCGAAATTGCAAATGAAGCATGTTCCCGGCCGTTTGCCATTTTAGAAATTGACTAGCCTGAAGTAACTGCCCACGTCTACATGCGGCAGTGAAACGGGATTCCGAAATAAAGCCCTAACTCAAATTAGCTGGTAAACCTCATTGCAGGGGGCTAGTGTAGACATACCCTCTGTGTGTCTGTCTCTAAATTTTGGTTCTGTAGAGAAGTATCTCTAGGCCTTCCCAATTGTTTGCTCATGACCCTAAACATAGGTATAAAAGGTGCTGCAAAACTTTTTTTTTTAAGTTTTTTTCATAAGTATAATCATTGAGAGCCTTTTTTGGGGGGTTGGTAACTTTTCTGAAAAATGCTTCTGTGGAGCACCAGAACTAATCAGAAATTCAGGTTCAATTCAGCAAATAGTTTAGGCTGAGAAAACCTAAAATCAAAAGTTTCAGAAATGTTACAATGGTTCAATAAATCTCAATTCACATCAACATCCAAAAATGCTTCATTTCACAAACCAAATGAAGTTTTTGTGTTTTGTTAAGAAAAAAAAATGAGTTTAGATTCAAAATGAATTTTTCCAGTTTTTTGAATTTGGCTATCAAACCTATGGGGGAGAAAAATCCCATTATTCATCTGTTCTGATCTCCCTAGGTACTAGATTGACCCTGGGTACTAGACTGATTGGAAACTGGCCAACGTTTGTGGACATGTCCACTACAATTCGATCTGTCATTGCTGCTTTAAAATAACCAGATATTAGAATTTGTTTCTCTTTCTGTTCAGGGTCTCCTGGCCAGTGATCCAGACCTTGAATTGCTTCTCGACAAGATCTCAACTGTCAAGCATCTGCTCTCCTCTCTAGAGAAAAAGGTGCGTATTAGTGAGGCTATGTCTAGACTGCAGGCTTCTTTCAGAAGACGCTTTTATGGAAGAGATCTTCTGGAAAAACTTCTTCTGAAACAGAGCGTCCACACTGTAAAAACACATAAAAAAACCAATCTGTTTCTTCAAAAGATAGCGTCCACACTGAATGGACGCTTTCTCGCATTTCAGCTGTGATTACTATGGTCGGAGTGGCCAGCAGGGCACCTGTGCTTTTTCCTCTTTCCTCTGCTTTCAAAAGAACTCCGTCTTCCCCATTCACACATGCCTTTTTCCAAAAGAGCTCCTTCAGAAAAAGGCTTCTTCCTCGTAGAATGTTGGAAAAACCCCTCTGCTCTTTCGATTTTCTTTCGGAAGAACGCCATGCAGTGTGGACGTAATTGATGTTTTTTTTTTTTAAACTGCTGTTTTTCTGAAAAAACTCTGTAGTGTAGACATATCCTGAGTTTCTGATCTCAGCACGCATTGCTAGGGCTTGGGATGGTTACTCTGCAAAGAAGCACAGGGTAACAAGTTTGCCATGCTGCAACTATGGCACATGAGCAGTGCATTTGTCACAGACTGAGCTACAAAAAAGAAAACAAATCAAACAAACCCCACCCGCCCCCCAAAAAACAAACAAAAAAAACCCAACCAAAAAACCCTCAAAGAGAGTAGAAGTTAAAATATAGGGAGATTTATAATATACGATTCCAGAGGAAGTAAACATAAATTACAAGAATTACAGCAACAACCTCTGGATAAATGCCCCTTTATAAATTTCCCCATGAAGGGTAGAAGAGCTATTAATTGCAACTTTGCTAATATTTCCTAACTCTCCAGATTAAAATAAGCTCATTAAACTTGAGCAAACTCCTGGAATAAATTAAAACTCCTAGATAGGGCAATTTTCTACTAGATGGAGCTCCCAGACATTAGAGACCACATCTGGAAGGGCACAGGCTTTTCATTGGATAAGATAGAAGGGAATTCCTTCCACCTGGAGCATGCTTTATAGTTTTTAGTCCCACCTCCTAACAGGTTCTAGCCAATCAGCCCTTTGACATTACTCACAATACAAATTACCATTCCCTTTTCACAGTTTCACAAACCAAGATCTGCCTCTAGGCCTCCATGCTCTTTGTGCTGGCCCACAGTGTCACCTGGTTCCCAATTCCTGCTCACCTTCGCTGGGATCCAGCAGATCCTTGAGGTGTCTATCACAAGGAGTGTGACATTGCCACGCCTGTGAGATAGACAAATAGACCCCTTCCATCACCTTCTTCCCAGATCAGAGCATTGTGATTTGTAGCCAAGTTGTTGCTCGGGATGCCTCCATGGCAAAGCCAACAGTCTGTGTAGACAGCTCTCCCAAACATGAGCTGTTCCTCTTGTCACCTCCTTTAGTGGGAGGAGCTCTTGGAGGGAGGGAGCACATGCTGCTCACTATTGCCTGGGTTCTTCACACCAATGGCTCCAGCTCCGCCCAGTCAAAGCATGCCAGAGTGTCCCAAAGGCTAATGGGTGGATTCAGGCATTGAAAGAGAAGGTGGCTGATTGCAAGCAACTCAGTGGCAGGGCCAGGAACAGAACACAGGGCTCCAATCTCTCCCTCTTACTAGTAGGTGGTATTGCCTCCACTGTAATTTGAGCAGACCCAGAGCAAACAGGAAGTGGTACCTCACTGGGACCCAATTCCAAAGTTCCCCTGCCACTGACTGTGCTTGGCAGCAAGGCCCAGCCATGCCCTGCAGCAACATGCCAGACTCTCTTGCTCCCACCAGACTCAGTTCCCTGGCAGATAAGACAGCTGCATTTGAACCCTCTCCCTTGTGCAGCTCATCCCTCTGTGTCTCTCACCACCTGCCTGTCTGTCTCTCACTCTTTCTCTGTAGGTGCTGAAGACTCTGCAAGAGACAGTGACCAAGCACAAACTGACGCAGCCACCTGCTGCCAAACCCATGGCCGTGCAATCTTTTGAGGTGAGAGAGTCTCTTAGTGGTGAGCTCTGCTGTATTGCTCCCATCAGGGGTTTTGATAGGACCTTTCCCAGTACATGTAGGGTTGCCAGCTTTCCTGACTGGATGGACGGGACCCCATTCACAGCAATGGCGTCTGATCAGGAACGTTGGCAACCCTAAGTCAGGCAGAGACTAAGGTGGGCACGACCGACTTGGGCCCTACATGATGTGGTGACTGCAGCTTGTGGGACAGCGGGGCAGTGGGATCATAGGCAGAGGCAACATGGGATGTGATTTCCCCTTCTGGCAAATGAAAAAGCCGATATGAGGTGGGGGCAGACAGTCTGGAGACACTCTTCTATTCTCCAATGGACAGCGGGAGCTAGCAGGAGAAGAACAGGTTTATACCTGCCACAATACACTGGGGTTCAGACCCAGGGGTGGAGGAAGCCAGCCTCCAAGCAGCTACAGCACCTCAGTGGGGGTGCCCTGTGAGCAGTGCCCATCCAGGAGAGGGGTAGCCCTGGATCATCTGTGTATTCCAGGGAGACACAGAGATAAAGGGGCACACATGCCTGGTTGCTGCCTTCATTGCACTCAGCCTAGCTGCACCTGCCTCCATAACCTAGTTCCTTGTGCTGCAGGTGAAAGTGGGCAAATCCCAGAGGGCCTCCCTGACAGTGGATGTGGAGTCTGGGACAATGACCATCACAAAGAAGGGCTGCAGCTCTCCAGAGGAGACCATCTCTCAGGACAAAAGTAGGGAAAACCCTTTCACTCCATTGCCTTGACATAAGCCTCAGAAGGCTGTTGGGTAATTGGCCTTTTGTTTAGAGAAGACCTCTTGGGGAAGCAGCAGGGGGAGTCCAAGAACACTCAGGGATGCACAGATGGAATATGGCCATCACTAGGCTGCCTGGCTGAAGCCAGGGTGATGGGCTCCTTTCCCCAGGGTAATCTGCTGAGCAGTTATCCCAAAGATGGGAGGAATAAGCCAGAGCCTGCTGGATGCACACAGGCGTACTGGCTGGCAAACTCATTGCTGCTTGCCTTCCTGCTGTGCAACATCCTGGGAAAGTGAGGGCCCCTGTAGCCATCCCCACTGTGCTGAGAGGCAACAGCTGTGCCCTTCCTTCGGGGTGTATTGGCTGTGCTTTCGGGGGTTGTGCCGTTCCGTGTTTCACTGTCACCGGTGTGGCTGTCTTCAGTCTTGCAGCTGATTAAATACCAGAGCATGCAGAGCAAAGTGAGGCTGGTGTATGACAGAGACCAGCACCGAAGCCTGACCAGGGATTTCATCTTCCAGAACGCACGGGTAAGGGGCCCACCCCGGACTAGGCTCCCTGCCAGCTTCACTGCAGTAAAAGCCTAGGGCCAGGCCTCGGACCACGGGGCAGTGTTTGCCTCTTGTGTGGACTGGCCCTGCTTGTGGGCTGGCATCCAGGCTCTCTCTGCCTGGCCTCTGAGAACGGGCTGGTAGGAAACCCCTTATGCTGTATTGTGTGTGGGCAATGAGGGGATGTTGGCGGCACGGGGGCCTGAGAGCCGGCTTTCTGAGTGACACGTGGCTGCAGGGCATTCTGCTCCCCCGCCCCCAGGGATCATTGAAAGGTGGGTGAGGGCTCCCCCCCAGCACTCAGGAGGCAGAACGTAACCATGAAACCAGGGGCTTCAGCGGCTATACTGGGTGCGCATGTGGCTGCTCAGCTCTGCCCTCTGCTGGTGTGTGAGACCTTTGCAACGCCACTGCTTCGCAGCTCATCAGGCGTGAGACGACAGAGCTGCCTCTGAGCTTATCGATACCCAGTAGAGAGGGGCCTGAATCCTGAACCCTGATCCGCTTGTTTTCCTTGACATGTTTGCAAGGGGCTGATGACCGTGGCATTTGCATGTAGCACCTAGATATTCTGCTGGGAGATGCACTGAAGGGAGAGAATCATCAGCCTTCAACTCAGCTGTTCCTGTCAGACTGCAGTGTGCACCATTGCTTTCTGCTTCAGGAGGGGCCTCCTCTCCCATTACTCCTTATTTGGCAGAAGCCTCTAGATTTGGGGTCTAAGGTTTATTATTATTGTAGGCCCGAATCCCACAGTACTATGCTCTGTACAACCCACCATGAGAAGTTCCTGTGCCAAAGAGCTCACATTAAGTCAACATGAAAGATGACAGGACAGACAGATACATGAGCACTAGGAAACTGGTTGGCCTGGCTGGTAATGATCTCACCTGACCAGTAGCCCAGCCATTGTCAAGTTTTATTCTCATTGCCCTTTCCATGATGCCCACGTGATCTTGACTGTGGTGCTGAGGGCGCTGCCTCCTGTGCTCTTCTCCTAGGAAATGGGTTGTGAGACGGTTACATTCATTGGCTAGACACAGGTTACAGCTAAAAGCAGGATTTCCCACCACTCTGAGGGTATGTCTACACTACCCCCCTAGTTCGAACTAGGGGGGTAATGTATGCATACCGAACTTGCTAATGAAGCCCAGGATTTGAATTTCCCGGGCTTCATTAGCATAAAGCCGGTGCCGCCATTTTTAAAAACCGGCTAGTGCGAACCCCGTGCCGCGCGGCTATACGCGGCACGGACTAGATAGTTCGGATTAGGCTTCTAATCCGAACTATCTGTACGTGGAACGAGGCGTACAGATAGTTCGGATTAGGAAGCCTAATCTGAACTATCTAGTCCGTGCCGCGTGTAGCCGCGCGACACGGGGTTCGCACTAGCCGGCTTTTAAAAACGGCTTTATGCTAATGAAGCCCGGGAAATTCAAATCCCGGGCTTCATTAGCAAGTTTGGTATGCATACATTACCCCCCTAGTTCGAACTAGGGGGGCAGTGTAGACATACCCTGAGGCTTTAAGGTTGCTCTGGAGCAGTGGTGGGCAACCTGCAGCCTGGAGTCATACAGCCCATCCGGGTTCTACTTCCCTTGGAAGGCCGTTCCAGAACCTCACTCCTCTAATGGTTAGAAACCTTCGTCTAATCTTAAGTCTAAACTTCCTACTAGCCAGCTTATATCCATTTGTCCTTGTGTCTATCCATGTTGTTTTTTTTCCTACCAATATTGCTAAAGTGACACACACCTAAAGCATGGGCATGTGAAGTGAGGTGCAGGCTGATTGCACACAACATTGACTGGAGAGCCACGCACCCCCTCTGCAGGCAGTCAAAGTGCTGCTATGGGTCAATCGCAACACCCCGCAAATTCTAGGTACACCAGCGCAGTTAGCAGAACTACCCTATCCCGGGAGACTGTCTTGATTACAACAACCCTGTGGCCTGCTGAGATGAAGGAGGGCCACTAATGCGGCCCACTCACTAGCCTACGTTGTCCCTCACTGCACTGGAGTGAAACAGATGAGCCCTACACTGAAGACTGGTAGTTACCATTGGCCACCACCAGTCTGCAGCTCAGTAGGGACAGACCCGGGGCTCAGCTTGGGCACCATGTTCTCGTGAACTCTGCCCTGTGTGTCAGGAACCAAGCAGACAGTTGTGTTCTTCTCTTGCAGAAACGAGAGGCCTTTTGCCAATTACTGCAGCTCATGAAGATCCAGCATTCCAACCTGGATGAGCCAGACCTCATTTCTGTGTACATTGGGACGTGGAACATGGGTAAGGAGTAGGGGCATCTCAGGCACCTCCTGTGTAACCACACGTGAATGCCGGCTTAGTTCTGCAATTGAAATCCCTGCAGATTCCCAAAGGGAGCTATGCCCAGGAGTTCTGAGATCCTTCTTGAGTCCTGGTGGGGTGAGGAGGTTGATGAAGCCCTTGCCCCCTCAGGCCTTAGTTGGACTTGCCTGGATTATGCTGGGTCAATACCATGATGTATGTGCCACACTTTGTGTTTTTACTGAGCTGCTGCTGGTCAGTGGTGGTGGGACATAGCAGCGAACCTCAGAAACAAGCTGTCTCTTGGCTGAACTCAAAAGCTGTCATGGTATTTTCCATCCTTGACAGCAGATCTTTTGACCCCCCTGGCACTGAATAAGAGGTAACCAAATCCCGCTTCATCCAGTCGGATTCCAGTTCATGGGCTTCCATGATATTCAACCAATGTGTTTGGGTTGGTGCAGGAATGGGGAGGCAGTGAAATGTAGCAATCTGATCCCATCTCTCCTTTCCCCTCAGGTAGTGCTCCACCGCCTAGGTCCATGGCTTCATGGCTGACATCAAGGGGGTTGGGACGGACTCAGGATGAGACTACAGCCTGCATCCCACATGACATCTATGTTATTGGCACCCAGGAAAACTCTCTGGGGGACCGCGAATGGGTGGAGTTCTTGCGAGCCTCTCTGAAGACCTTGATGTCCGTAGATTTCCGAGTGGTATGGCACTAGGTCACCCCATTCACCCAATGCTGAAGGAGGGACGGTGCCCATGTCCTCTAGTCTCCTTTGTCCCTTTCGGCTCCTCTTACCTTACCTATCCTCTCTGGCTTTGTAAGAAGCAGTGCCTTCCAGCCCTGACTCAGTTGAAGCCTATTGGAAAGCCTTACCTTCACATAATTGTTATTAGAAGTAGATCTCTCAGTCACAGAGGCTATGTCTACACAGCAGCATTATTCCGTTATTCTGAAATAACATAGTCCGTGTCTACACTGCAAGCAGTTATTTCAACATAATGTCAAAATAATGTCGAGCTGGAGGACTTCTTACTCTGACTCCTGTAACTCTCATTTTACGAGGAGTGAGGGAAGTTGGAGGAAGAGTGCTCTAGCTCAGACTTGAGTTCACATAGCTCAAGTTGTATAGCTTATTTCGGTTTTAGCCCTGCTGTGTAGACCTGTCCATACTGTCCTGGGGCTGTTACACCCATAACCAACTACTTGAGATAAAGCCAGAGGGACTCACCATACCACCAGAGCCATTGACAAGCAGGAAAGATGACCTCCCCAATGGAGCCTGTTGTTGGGATCTGGTGCTCAGACATTTGGGTGGCATGTTTGACCTCACCTTTCTGCTTTCTTCACCACCCCCCTTGCCACCTGTTGGATGAAGGGCTGGAGAACAGTTCAGGGACTCACAGATGTCTCCAGTGGGAGATGGGGAAGCTGAGATCGTCCTCTCATCTGTGCTCTCTTCTCTGTCCCTCTCTCCCCATCAGGAGTGTAATTTCTCCCACTGAATTGAATTCTCTCTGAGCCATCCTCCTTAATGCCTGCCTAGGCAGGATGCATTCTCTCATCGTTAGGGTGCCATTTTCCAGGCTGTGGCCTCTGCAGACAAGGCCTTGTGGCACTGACAGTCATGGTCACACCCAGAGAACTGGGAAACAGGCCTGAGCAATCTCCCCACAGCCAGAGCTCAGGAAGGCCTTGCCCACAGCCCAGGAGTGAGCAAATGGAGTCTGGTCCAGGCCGGACTAAGGATGTTAAAATGCGGTTAATTGACTAGTTGACAGGCATTTCTGCATTCTTCCTTTAAATGTACAAGAGCCCCAGGATACATTTCAACGAAGGAATGTGGAACTGTCTGGGCTGCACGCGGGTATCTGCCTTGAAATGCTCAAGAGTCCCCAGCAGGGGCTTTTGTGCATTTCAAATCCATGGAGACTGGGGTCAGCAGGGGACTCACAGTCCCCCCACTGACTCTGGGCTCCATTCTACACTGCATTCTTCTAGGAGCTCAGGGTCAGCTGGGGAGTCACCAGCTGACCCCAGGCTTCACTGTCCCTTTAAAATGGGAGAAGGTGGCAGTTTCAAAGGGGTAGCTGCTGCACAGCTGATCCACAGATCAGCTATGCAGCAGCTGCCCCTTTGAAAAGAGGTCTGGGAGTTTCAAAGTGGCAGCACCGCTATGCAGCCCTGCCACTTTAAAATACCCCTTCCCCCCCACATACTTTGCTGCCTCTATCTTATAGAGGCAGCAAGGGGGAGGGGGACAGGATACTGACTAGTTGACTAGTCAAAATACTATCTGATAAGCAAATGCTTATCAGATAGTCGACTAGTCTTTTACATCCTTAGGCCAGACACAGAAATGCGGCACATCCAAACATGATCCTGGACTCATTAAGGGGGTGTTTGGATACAAGGCTGCAGGGATGCCTTGCCCAGCTGCTGGTGGGTTGCCTATTGTAAGGTGATTGCCAGAAGGGCACAGTACGCTCTCATTCCCCTACTCTTGCTTAGGAGTTGCCTTTCAGTGCCTCTGGAACATCAAGATTGTGGTGCTAGTGAAGCCAGAGCATGAACACCGGATTAGCCATGTGAACACGTCGAGTGTGAAAACAGGAATCGCAAACACACTAGGTGCAGCAGAAGGGGAAGGGCAGTGTTCCTGGGGCTGGTGTGGGAGGAGAGGACAGCACCAGGGCAGGGAGATGCTCTAAGAGTCATGGCAGGGTGGGAAGGAGGATGAGGTCCGGGGCCATATCTGGGGAGTATTTTGGGGCCTGTATCTGAAGTCGGGGAGAAGGGAGCTGGGGATCACTCTGTGGACAGAGGGGAGTGTCTGGGGGTCATAGCAAGAACTGAGAAGATCTCAGGTCCTATTGGGGAGCAAGTCCTGCTATAAGAGACAGGCTCTGTGAGGATCCTCTGGCAAGGGGAACATGAAGGGCTGAGGGCTGACTGGGCCTGGTATGTTTCCTCAGGTAACAAAGGAGCTGTGGGTGTCTCCTTCCTTTTCAATGGGACGTCGTTTGGGTTTGTGAACTGCCACCTGGCCTCGGGGAGTGAGAAGACACACAGGTGATTGGGGGGCTGCTTCCTCAGGGGCCGAGAATGCCAGCTCAGCTGCCCCATGGCAAGTGCATTGCTCCATCATTAGCCTCTTCCTGGCCCTTCCTTTGCTGCAGCCACAGTCAGTTTTCATCTCAGCTTCCCTTCCAGGTTGGACATGCTCACTCATGCTCTTCCAGCTGGCTGGGGTGGATGTGTGCAGGGCTGGGACACTACCCGGCCTACTGCGGGGATAGGGAGAGGCCAAGGTGTTGGCTTGAGGGGACTGAGGTTAGAATCACTATCATCACTGTCTAATTGAAGGTGGGGGTGAGGAATGGGTGAGGACAGGAGGAGGGGGCCTTGTGGGTGCAGGGAAGGATCAGGGTGGGCTGGTCTCAGGTGTGTCTGTGGAGGCAGGTAGGAGCCCTGAGGATTTTCAGGGTCATGGGGTCCCTGATTTGCTCTGCTTTGTGTCATCCTCGTGCCATGCAGGCGGAATCAGAACTATAGTGATATTCTGCGCTCTCTGCTCCTGGGTGACAAGAGACTCAGCAGCTTCGACCTCACACTGCGCTTCACCCATATCTTCTGGTTTGGAGACCTGAACTACCGCCTTGATATGGAGGTCCAGGTAGGACACTGGTCCCAGCTATGCCTTGGCTCGCTGCTGTGCTCCACATGTTTCCTCTTGAGAATGGACCACCTGGAGGGAATGCTCAGTCCCTCGTCCCAGCCTGGCCCCAAAGACAGGCAGGGGACTGTGAACATGCAGCTGCTTGTCTACTTTGTGGATTCCTATCGTGGGATCCCATGCTGAGGCAAGGGTACAGGAAAGCCCTGCAAGCCCTGGCACTTACAGACGCTCTCCTCTTCCCTCTCAGGACATCTTAGCTCATGTGAACAAAAAGGAGTTTGAGGCGCTGCTGGCTGTGGACCAGCTCAACCTGGAGCGGGAGAAGAACAAGGTGTTCCTGAGATTTCGTGAGTGCAGTGGGGACAGATGGGGAGCTCACATTGCCCTCCCAGAGCAGTGCCTGCCTGTCTGCTGCCTCGCCCCCAGCAAGGTCTACGTGGACCATGCCCTCCCGGTCACCTCCTGTACTCACAGTTCAACAGTGCTTTAAGGCAGGACACGCTCTACAATTGCTGCCAAAATACAAGAGAGACAGGACCCTCCAGGTCTCCCCCAGCAGCACATCCAGCACAGCCAGGCTCTGTCAGGCTGGGGCTTTGCCCTGTGTTTGGGGTTTAACCTGGCATGATACAGATAATAGCCTGGGGCCAAGAGCTTCACCGCCCCCCTGCCATACACAAATGCCAGAGGCCTACCTACCCTAGACAAGCAATCTAGTGTCTCCTGCCAGCCAGGGCTTTGCTGCAAAGTGTCTAAACATGCCAGAAATCTCGATGTGCACCAGAGAAACCCGGCCTCAGGTAGTGAGACCAGTGAGGTAGAGGGCTTGGCTGGGCCCTCAGGGGATGTTTGTGCACAGTTCATGGTGCTGAGGAGGGACCAGGGCTGGATAGCAGAGGGGCTACAGGCCAGGGTGGAAGTTGCTTTGGCAGAGCTAGAGCAGGGATGATGTTCAGGGCTGAGGAGCACTGCTAGACTTGTGTGCGTCGGGGGTGGGGGAGGTCTTGCAGTGGGTTTCTGACCCTGCCATGGGCTCTGCAGACAGTGATTGCCTGCCCTGGGCTGTCAGTGTCCAGTGCGGTCTCACTTCCTGTTTGCTCCACTTCCAGGTGAGGGCGACATCTCCTTCCCCCCTACATACCGATTTGAGCGAGGCTCCCGGGACACCTATGTCTGGCAGAAGTTCAAAACCACAGGGGTGAGTGCCTGGGCCTGTCGGGAAGGGGCTGGGATTTGGGCAGGGCTCCCATGTGGGACTGGCCCTACCTGACCAGGAGAGGGAATAGGGCTGGGCCAGCAGGCTCATTTCTGCACTCAGGGCAGGGATGTAGACACAGTGGCTTTGAGCCACCCCTGTTTTGAGCCTTGTGCTGGCTGCCTGTGGCCATGAAGAAATAGAGGGACCAAGGAAGACCAGAGTGAGGCCGTGGTAGGTCGGGGGTTAGGGCTCCCAGCCGCGTGCTCAGCCCACACTGCCTCACGCTATGATCTGTGCTGTCACACGGGGACCCCACACCGCCAGAGACACTGGGATGGCCTTACCATGCCCCTGGGAATGAACTGGATAGCAGTCTCCCTGGGCAGGTTAGGGCAACTGGTGGCCCTCAGCCTCACCCCCTTGTGGCCCCTTCCTCACAGGAGTCCAGAGCACCCCTCCCATGTCCCCCCCCCCCATGGCGGCAGGTGGCTGGGCAGCACGGCTTTGCACCAGCTGCCCTGAGTCCCTGTGGGAGGCATGCTGGCCAGCCACAGCCCCAGCCCCAGCCCCAGCCAGCCCGGGCCAGGGCAAAGCACTGGGCACTGCAGGAGAGAGCCTGGGGGCAGAGTGCGGGCTCTGCCTCCCTCAGACTATGATACCTGCCACCTGCTGAAGGGAGACACACTGGAGCTATGGGAGGTTGCAGGGAAATGCAAGTAGCTCGAACCAGGCCCAGCCATGCACCTGCAGCTTCTTTGCTCTTGGTTGCAGGTGAGAATCAATGCTCCCTCGTGGTGCGATCGCATCCTGTGGAAGTCACGGCCTGAGACCCACGTGCTCTGCAACTCATATGGTGAGTGAGAGCCCTGGGGAGCTGCCTGGGAGCCCACAGGCCATTAGCCTGACGCCTCCAGCGCCCAACCTGGAACAGGTGCATGGAACAGGGGTTTCTGCAGCAGTGACGTGACTCCCTTTTCCACATTTCAGGCTGCACAGATGACATTGTGACCAGTGACCATTCGCCCGTCTTTGCCACGTTTGAGGTGGGAGTGACGTCTCAGTTTGTATCTAGGAAGGGTAAGTCCCCCCATGCCCGCTGCACAGGGTAGGGAGAGCCTGTTCCCCTGGTAGGTTTAGAGCAGGAGTGCTGCAGTCCCCACATGTCCTGAATAGGTTCTGCCATCACTGCAGTATCGTCGGAGCCAACACCAGTCACCCCAGGGCACCAGCCAGCAGGGCTGGTTAGCATTGTTAGTGGGGAGATGGACAGGTTAATCTTGGCCTGGGGAGCAGGAGTCAGGAAGCTCATTTTGCTGAGCCTGCAGACAGAGCTGAGCTAGGACTGATCCCTCCCTGCTGCCTTTGAAGCAGTAGCAATCTGCCACCCTCCAGGTTCATGGCAACCAAATCCTGCCCTGGTCCTCAAGGGAACAGCCCATCTGAGGGGTCAGATCTGGGGGCAGAGCGGGGCCCCTTCAGCATACACTGATTGGCCATTCTCTGTCTGCCAGCTCCTGGCTCCAGCCCCGAGTCCCTGGCCTGCATCGAGTGGGACAGCATCGAGGTGATTGTGAAAACAGCCAGCCGCAGCAAGTGCTACATTGAGTTCCACTCCTACTGCCTGGAAGGTGAGCGCGCCCTTGGAGTCTCTGCCGGCTGCTCTCCGGCGCCCCAGTGCGGGGGGAGGGGGCGCTGTGCTGCAGGGGGCTCCTCACAGGGGGTGCTGTCCCCACACTCAGCACTGACAGTCAGTGCCCCGGGTGCTGTGCTGCAGGCGGTGCCGTTCTCCAAGCCACGCTTCTGGCCTTTTGTGCTCCTTGCTAGGGCCCTACCATAATGGACCGACCTGGCCATAGGATTTGAAAATTGGTAAATTCCATGGTTTCAGCTGTTTACACCTGAAATGTCCATGGTGGTGTAACTGTTACTATGGGGTCCTGACCCAAAAGAAGATGGGGGATCACAGCTGCCACATCTCACCTCAGGGGTGGCTGCATTTCAGCTGTGGGTGACAGGATCTCCGTGCAGTCTGTTCAGTGTCGTGAGATTCTTTTTCTGTGGGCAATGGACTGGCAGTGCTATCTCAATGGCAAACAACTGGGAGTTGTCCTGGGTTGAGTCCCCCTCACCCCGTGGCAATGTGATCGGTGCCTAGGAGAGGTTGGAGATGGCAGGGCGAGAGGGGAGACATGTACCCAGGTGGAGAGGGGGGTGGGTAGGCTGGCAGCAGGACACAGCTTTGCTCTTGTAATTCTCTGAATTTCTTGCCAGAGTCTCAGCGGAGTGGGGAGAACAGTTCTCAAAGCAGCGACATCCCAGGCTTCCTCAAACTCAGCTGGTCAGCGAAACAGCTCCCAGTGGTAAGCACCGTGTGGGGAGGGTGCATGCAGACTGGCAGACGTGTGCCTGGGCAGAGGCTGGCACAACAAGGGGAGGCGAATGAGAAGGACATTCTCTGAATTTCTTGCCAGAGTCTCAGCGGAGTGGGGAGAACAGTTCTCAAAGCAGCGACATCCCAGGCTTCCTCAAACTCAGCTGGTCAGCGAAACAGCTCCCAGTGGTAAGCACCGTGTGGGGAGGGTGCATGCAGACTGGCAGACGTGTGCCTGGGCAGAGGCTGGCACAACAAGGGGAGGCGAATGAGAAGGACATGAGCCTGTACACAAAGTGAACCCAGTGGTGAGCCCTTGGGCCTTTTCTCTTGCACGACAGGCCAGCAGGGTCACTGTGATGTCTCTGTACCAGAGCTCAGTGCTCAGGCCCCATGGCTGCATGGCTGGATTAGCAGTTTGCAGCCTTCTGAGAGTTGTCTCTCCCTGTGCAGCTGATCCCGATCTTGTCGGACCTGGAGTACCTGCTGGACCAGCACCTGCTCCTGAGCATCAAGGGCACGGACAGCTGCGAGTCATATGGTGTGTGCCCAGCCCCTCCTCTAGGAGGGAGGAGTGGTAGGGTGTGGCCAGGATGGGCTAAGGTGACTCCTACTGGGCTGTCTCCTGGAGTGGCCCAGAGCAGGGGACCAGTGGGATCTGGGTGAGCACCCACATTAGTGAAGGGTCTAGGTCCCACTGTGGCTTCACCTGCCCCTGCCTGAAGACCAGGGGCAGCAGCCAGGTATCCTCAGCAATGCCTGAGACTGTCCTTCAGCTGCTGTTGCCCCTGGCATCCATGGAGAGGGCCTGGGAGCCTGTAGCTAGTGCAGTGCCCTGATTGCCAAGCCCGGCCCAGGAAGGGGCAGTCAGTGCTTCACTGAAGACATGCTATAGTGAGCACGGTGAGCTTGGAGACTGACTCCATCTCCCCCAGGAGAAAATGGTTTCTCTAAACCCCTGGGAAATCAAGAGCATATCTGGAGTTTTGAGTTTTGACAGGACAGGCTACCCCCATGGACACTAGCTCTGTTCATATGAGCAGCTCCATGCTCCATGTGGCATCTGCCCATCCCGGCTCCTAGTGCTTTTTCTATGGGAATGTGTGACTGGGCGGAGGGTGATGCTAGCTGCTGTCGAGGGGGGGGGTGGTGGTGCCTGTGGTGATGCTGTGTTTCTGGGTAGGTGAGTGCTGCATTGCCATGAGATCTATGATTGGCAGCCTGCCCCAACAGTTCGAGACTTTCCTCTTCCACCGGGGTGAAGAAACAGGCTCCATGCGTGGCTGGATGAAGGTTCGAGTCCCCAAGGACAGGCGCAGCACCCGCGAGAGGCTCTATGGTATTACAGCCAGGCCACTGAACTGCTCCCACTGCTTCAGAGATAAGGGCTTCAGTTCCCTGCCACCTGGGGAATGGGGAAAACCCGAGTATGTAGGAGCTCCCCTGCAGCCATCTCTCCTGCCCCACGAGGCACCAGGAGAAGCCCCAGGCCTGGAATAGGTGGAGCTCCCCTGCAACCCTCCCATTTTAGTGCTCCCAGTGGAGTAGCTGGGAGTCCTCCCCATCTGGGCAGACAGTTCAGCAGAAACACCTTCTTGTGCTGCATTCCCATGAAACTTGACAGTCTTTGTTCTGTGCAGAGTGGATCAGCTTTGAGACTGAAGAGACAGAGTCCGACTCCCCGACCCTCTCCAAGCCAGCTCTGCGCGCTGTCAGGTAACTGCCAGCATGCCATACCTTGGCCAATAACCTGCTAGGATGCTTGGTGCTGCCAGTCCACGGCTCATAATGGGAGTTTAAATTAATGGAGATTGCCTATCTCCTACAGCTGAAAGGGACCTTGAAAGGTCATCAAGTCCAGTCCCCTGCCTTCACAGCAGAACCAAGTACCATCCCTGACAATTTTTTGCCCCAAATCCCTAAATCGCCTCCACAAGGATTGAACTCCCATCCCTGGGTTTAGCAGGCCAATGCTCAAACCACTGAGCTTGGTTTGGTTTCTGAACTAGGGTGCACTCTGAGTGGATGAAGCAGGTGCTTGTCTGTCTGTCTGTCACCTAGGATTGTTGGTCCATCTGTCACATAGTGCCATGGTAGTCTGTCGTGGTATTGGGATGTCTGTCTGTCTGTCTCTGCCAGGAACTGAGGTTGGGTTTGTCCCAGGGTACTGGGATTATCTGTCTGTTGGAGCTGTCTGTCTGGGCAAAACCACTGACTCGGCTGATGTGTGTTTCAGGAGCCGGCCCCTCAGCCTCCCAGAAGCAGCCAGCAGTTACACCAATCCAGCCTATTTCATATTTGAGGGGGTCCCCAATGCCTGGATGCAGTGTTCTAGCCTGTCCGAGCCTCCCTACAGTCCGGCCAGTGACACGCAGGCAGACAGGCCCCTGGGCCGCGATCCATGCCGCAGGCTCCAGAGCCTGACAGGAGTACAAGCCTGCTCCTCCTCCCAGGAACAGCCACAGAGAAGCCCCCATTTCTCTGTGCCCGAGACCACCTCCTATGGGCACCAGCTCAGCCCCTCCCAGATTGGAAGGCACAGGAGGCCCAAGTCAGCCATTCTGGCAAGAGACCAGCAGATGGCCAGTGACTGTTCCCTCACAGCCCTTCAAATGGCTTGGTGCCTCAGTGATGTGGACACAGAGTCCCCCAAGACAGGAAGCTGCCTGAGCCCCAGCCAGCAGGAAGGACGGAAGAACCTGCTGCGCCACACCCGCAGTGCGCTGGTGCCACCACCTCAGAGCTACTGGGAGGGAGCAAGGTCCCAGCGGGACACTCCCCGACTCAGCCGTGCCAAAGAGGTATGTCCTGGGCAGCCCGCTCTGGAAAGCACCAGCTGGCTCCTATTCCAGGGAGACATGAGGCACAAAGACAAGATATGCCATGCCTGGCGAGGGCTTTGCGCTGGGCCTGGAAGGCGCTCCAGGCATAGGGAGGGTGCTCGTTCACAAATCACTGGAGACCTGTGTGTAAATGTGACCAAGCACCAGTGAGCTTGGGGTCTCCCATCACTTCCCTTTCCCTGGCTCAGGAAAGGCCCAGGGCAGGATGCTTCACAAGGAAGACACCTCAGCAGATCTGTGAGGAGGGAATTAGCAGCGATAGCACAAGACCGGATTCAGGAAACAAACAGTGCTGGGGCTAGTGTTGTCACTTTGCAGTCCCCTGGTGTGATGCTCTTGGGCCATATCCTGGTTCTTCTTTCCTAGTGGCCCTGCGGCAACGGTGATCACTCCCAGAGCATTGGCATGTGGGCCTGGAACAGTATGAGGAGGGGCTGTATGAAAATGGCTGGGATGACTGAAGTTCTTCAGGTATCATAAGGAGAGTGGCGTGTGAGGGTGTGTAGGCTCAGATGTGCCATTGTGCCTTACTGGAGTATGACAGAACAGCTCACATCCCCCAGGGCAAAAGCTAGGAGTTTAGCGTGTGGCAGGATGAGAGTTGAGGGTTCCCGGCAGAGCACAGGGCAGAGACTAGTGGGAGATGACCTCTGGAGTCCCACGGTCTTTCCATGTCCACTGGCCATGTGTGGTTGACCTCTGGAGTCCTATAGTCCTCCCTGCCTCGTGCTGCATTGCTGGCTTCTCCCTCAGTTGCTCTCCTTCTCTTTTCTCCTTTGTCCAGAAATATCACTGACCAGGACCTGCTGGAAGCTGGAGTGCTGAGTCCCACGCACAGGAAGCTCATCCAAACCACGCTCCACGAGAGCAACAGTGGGAGCCTGCAGCCGGACCCCAGTGTGAAACCAAATCCACGGTGAATCTGGCATTCGGGCGCCTCTGTCCTAATCTCCTCTGGGCAGCTGCCTGGTGCAGTGGGTGGTGAGCTGCGGAAGATGTTCTGTCCCTGGGTATGACACAGGGCCAAGATCTAGGGTCACTGGGCTAAGCCTTTGGATTGGAAATGTCCCCCTTGCTGCCTGCCTTTGCAACCTTCACTGGCCTTCTGGTGCCTTCCTATGGCAGTGGCTGCAGAAATGCCCTGGGTTGTATATCTGTCTGAGGCTCTGCAGAGACCATTTAGCCTTGTGGTGAAACTGGCCACAACCCCAAACTGTCTAGATAGGTTCCAGGAGGAGTGACTGGAAATGTTCCCTCTAATCTTTTCCATTCATGTGCAGATTTTTTCCATCCATGTGTGGAATAATTTTTCTATGTACCCTGAGGTATGTGCAAATGTGCACCACCAATGGAAACAACAACCAAGCTGTGGGTGCCCTGCTAATCAGCTGGGTGGTGTTTGAATCTCTCCTGAGTGGCTGCACAAGCACACTGCTTACAGGGAACACTGATTACATGGAATTCAGAGAAGCCAGAACATAACAGAGGAGACCCTGCTGCTACCGAGATTCCAGCACTAATAGAAACTCATCCTTTTCTTCCTTCCCTCTTTGAGTCACAGAAAGGGCCTGGCTTCTCCTCTGATGCGCATGAATCTGAATGTAGTCCTGCTCCACTTACCCCCAGCATGGAGGCATGATACATTCGGAGCCAGGGGAGATGAGAGCAACAGTCCATGTGGCCACATCGCACTGGAGCTTTTTCTTGTTGAGTCTGATATAGCTGATGTGTGTAGGGACTCCACAGCTTGAGCTGGCTGGGCACCTCTCCCAGTCTCTGCCCAAAGAGTGTGGAGCGCTAGCTGTGCATTGTGCTTTGGTCACATGGGCTTGATTTCTCTAGGCTCTGAACTGAACATCCCACAGCAGACAACAGCAGGGGGCCTCCAAATGTGTCAGGAGGGAGAACACTCTAGTCTAATGCACTTAGGTATGGGCAACAGTTTCTCCCGGTCCAACCTGGTGCCTTTGTAGGAGCTGAAGACTGCCCGATCTCCTTAGATGGCAGCAAGGTGTTTGCAGAGCAGCCCATCCGCCTGTCATGTGCCTACAATTCCACTGTGTTGAGCTCCAGTTTCCACATGGAGTTTTTATAGGCTCCATGTTGCTGGTTTCTTGTGAAATGCACTTTCTGTTTCATTAACAATAAAACCACAAAGCTGGGAGGAAGCTCCTCATCGAGTCCACTTTCTGGTTTCTCTGAATCTGTAGTGAGAGGATGAAGTTGGTTCTTGAGGCAGGGAGAAGGGGCTAGTGCTGGTGTGGGCAAGGATGGTCTATGCTTTTCCTGCTAGATAACTAGAGCAGCACAGCTATCTCAGCCCTGCCCAGGCTCCCTGCCAGGCCTGGCCTTCCCACAGAGCTCTGCCGATGCCTCTCAAGGCTGAGCAGCAGCACCCAGACCTCTCCTAAGTGCTGTTGCTCCCCTCCAGGCATGGTGAAGAAAGGTGCCTGTGAATCTCTCAGCCACCCAGAGGAGTTTGGGTGTGTGTGCATGTATGTGCACATGCAAGTGTAGATCTCTCCCATCCCCCAAATATACCTCCCCTCAACCCCCCGCCGCAGTGAATTTTCAGTCTGGTTCCATCTGCAATGAACCTGTCCCAGCAGGTTCTTTCTGGTTCCTTGCATGGATCAATCTGTTGCTTAATATTTGAGCTGCCGTGCTGTGCCCAACCCACACGTATTGATGGGCCTAAGTCACACAAGCTGCTGTATGTTATTTAACACGGTGGTTCAGGGAGGACAGTGAACAAATATTTGGGTTTCCTTTGAGCAGCTAGTCAAGCCCCTACTCACTGCTATATTAGCTGGGTGCTTGTGTCAGTCTGTCCACCCCTGAAACATACAGGCTGTGTCTACACTGGGCCACGAATTCCGGAAAATCAGCTGCTTTTCCGGAATAAGCTGCGAGCTGTCTACACTGGCCCTTGAATTTCGGGAGGACAGTGAACAAATATTTGGGTTTCCTTTGAGCAGCTAGTCAAGCCCCTACTCACTGCTATATTAGCTGGGTGCTTGTGTCAGTCTGTCCACCCCTGAAACATACAGGCTGTGTCTACACTGGGCCACGAATTCCGGAAAATCAGCTGCTTTTCCGGAATAAGCTGCGAGCTGTCTACACTGGCCCTTGAATTTCCGGAAAAG